CTTCTCTCCCAAAACAACAAGTGCGGAAAATGTTTCTCGCGCAGCCAGTTTCCTGTTACAGACTCAGGCCATCTTGTAAGTCCATGGGTGTCAGGTGTTGTCTGATTTGTTTAAAATGCCAAAGGTGAATGGGCTTTGGTTTCTCTGCATGAATTCACTGATGCAAATGTGTTTTCTAGAACATATCTGGCACATTTGAAACTCTTACGGTTCATAAAAGTAGAGCTTAAAGCATAAGAAACACCATTTACTCTTTTCCATTTCTTTCTCAAGAACAACCAAAAGCAAACAAACCAGGAGAAGGAAAGACCAAGTTCTTGAGTAATAGCAATAGCAGCAGCTGTTTGGGATCACACATTGAGACACAAAACTCGGACGAGAGCTGACACTGAATTCACGCCTCTGAGTTCGATTCTACGCTGTGGGTTTTTGTTGTTTGCATTTTGTTTTTCTTCTTAAGACAGGCTCTCCTTATGTGGCCCTGCTTGGCCCAGAGTTGTTTCACAGACCAACCTGGCACTGAACTAACAGAGACCTCACCTGCTTACATCTCACCAGATGCTGGGATTAAAATCTTATACCATCACCAGCTACCTTTTGTGTTTTCTAAACTACAAAATCAAATTTTGACACCTCTCTCTTTTTTCTCCTATCTACTTCTGTCTAACTGTTTCAGAACCCAGAAAGGGCATAAAAGACCAAAAATAAGTTTCCTATTCCCTCTGGTCAGTAGATGGTTTGTGACTCTATAATCAGAAGAAGAGGCTTGGGATGTTGCAAACCAAAATAGATGCTGCAGGAGCTTGAGGTCGAAGAGTGGAATGTGGAAGCTTTGTACACATATTTTATTAAACTCTGAACTTGTTAGAAAGTGTATGCCGTAGTACTAACGAACATAAGGAATGTGATTGTCAATTCTGGGTGTAGCGATATTTTATTTATAATTTAATAAATAAAGCTTACCTGACAACCAGAAGAGCAAGCAGCCAGTCACTGGCTCTTACTTCTTCTCAGTCTGTAAAGGGTAATCCTGCTTCCAGGAATCCTCAGAACAAGGCTGAGTCTGGGAGTTGTCTCCTCTTGTCTTATAATCCTCCATAGATCAGAGAGTAAAGCAGCCTCCCTGGTCAGCCTTACAGACCAGGCAGTAATGGCACACACATTTAATCCCAGTAGCCACACTAGTTTGCCATAGAAACCAGGCAGTAGTGATGAATACCTTTAAACCCACCACTAGAGAGGAATATAAAATGGAAGGAGACAGCTCTCAGGTGCAGTCTCATCCCAAAGATTCTTGGAGGCAGGATCTCCATTTTCAGATTGAAGGAGACATAAGAGCCTGTGGCTGGCTACTTTGCTTTTCTGGTCCTCAGGCAAGCTTTGTTTATTAAAATACAAGTGAAAGAACACTACATTTGTGTAGCTTACTGTTTAGTGAGAGTCTAGTCATTCACCACACAATTCTATCATCTTCATTCACAACAGCTTAAATTGTTTTCTAAAGTTCTAAATTGTAGATCCCCTGGATCCCATCTCAATTTCCTTCTCTCTCACGTCTCCTCTGTTCTTCATGTACATCTCATCCAGTCTATGCTTGCAACCATTTCTAAGATCTCCAGTCCAGGACTGCAGTGCTGCTGAATCTCATTAGTTTCAAAACTGCAATTCACACTGTCTGCTGGCCCCTTGCTTAGATATCCAAGAATGTTTTCATATTAACAGTCAGACTTCAATCCCCAACTATCAATTATTCCTTGCTCCATATCTCACACACACTATTTCTCAGGTAATGGCCCTCCTGTCACTCAAACTTAAATTCATCATTGAATGTTCCAAAATATAAGGCAAACTACATTATTTGTAACTTAAAATAAAGACTAGCAAATATTTTCTATATAATGTTCAAAATCTAACCCTGATGTGGCAGTTAAGTGCCTATAGGTATGCAAGTTTATTTGCCCATTATGTCTAGTAGGTATAATTTCCCTCCTTTACTAAGGAAAAGAAAGGTCTTGCTCCCTCCAGGGAAGGCCCTTTCCACTTCAGACAGGAGTTGATCTTAGAGTTGATCTTCTGATCTCAATTCTGACCAACTGAATGAAATGAAAATGTCAACCTTCAGTTTTCAGTCCATGGCTGTGGAAAAAAAAATAATCTTTGAAGAAAGCAGAGCAGAGTCATGAGCAGGATTGATAGCTCTGAGGACAGGGGGGCATCCAGGAGCAGTTGTAGAAAACCTGTAGCTAACACCTGCAGACTCAGCACCAAAGGCACCAATAATATCTACCACGTGGACGACGGTTAACTTGTGATTTATGGTTAAATGTTTCCGGTTAATACAAGGGGTGTTTTAGATAGATGCTCATCTACATTAGTTGATTCCCAGTAAACTGACCTCAGATCTTCACAGTAAATACATCGTGTGTGTGTGTGTGTGTGTGTGTGTCCTGTAGATTTTCAGATTTCACCAGAATGTATGCCAGTCTCTTTCCCCCATCCTGGTTAGCCTCTAGAAATTACTGTCTTGTATACCAAAGCATCTAGTTTTTCTTCCCAAAGTCAATGTCTCCCAGGAGAATTCATTTGTTTCTGTTTCACATCTTATTTTATATATCATCTGAACTAAGGGATCTGCAGATAATTGGTAAAGTGTTCCTTTAAATTCTGGAAGGGGATTTCTACAAGGTGTGAATAGTTGAATCAACAGAACATGAGCCCCACCAACGTGAAGAAGCATAATGTCATCGAGTGAGGGTCTTAAAAGAAGGACAGATCCCTTCTTTCTTCTTGAGCTTAAACTTACAACTTCTACCATGCTTGGACACTGGGACTGTGTTTTTTAATCCTCTCAGATCAGATGGTGTTATACCATTGACACCATGTTTGAACTGCTTTGGGCCATGGGATTTCCTGAACCATCAGCTTGCAATGTGCAGGTCTGGATTTTTAAAACATACATGATGATTTGAAGATAGCTCTCATAATAAATCTCTTTCAGTACATGCATATCTATTCGTATTTTCCCTTTTAACACTGTTGACTAATATAAACATTATAGCACAATGATATACTTGTCTATCAATAGACTATTAAGAACAGATATAAAGATATTTGATTAATCATTATGATCTCTGGCCCTAGGATCTTGGCTGTTGCATCACAGACACTTAGATCACAATTTTGTTTTTATTAAATATATCTGGGTTCTAAATATAGCATTTATGTACTTTAGATAGAAGTTGTACAGTTTTAGATGAGTCTATGAAAATAGTGATAATCTCGATAAATTAGTTATTAGTCATAGCTGATAAGCATTGTCTACTATGTTTATATATTTTGTTTTTGAAAGAATGTATAGTCTTAGCTGGTAAATTTTGTCTATTATTATTATTATTGGTTTTGTAAGTCAGGGTTTTTCTGTAGCTTTGGAACTTGCTCTGTAAACTAGTCTGGCTTCAAACTCATAGAGATCCACCTGTCTCTACCTCCCAAGTGTTGGGATCAAAGTCATGTACCACCAACGCCTGGCTTGTTCTTTTTTTTTTTTTTTTGGTTTTGTTGCCTATTATTTTTATTTATATATTTTGCTTTTTACAGAATGCATAGAGAGTCCTAATTTACTTCTAGTTGTTATTATAAAATACCGTGACAAAAGTCACTTGAAGGGGAAAGAGTTTATTTTAGCTCAGAATACCTGGTTTGCAGGAACTTTAGGCAGTCAGTGACAACCAGTTAAGAGAATTTTAATGCTTGCATGCTGACTAATCATCTCACTTGATCTACCCAGGAACTTCTTGGGCCCAAATCAAGGAATGGTTCTACCTGTAGTGGGTTGAATCTTCCCATATCAATTAATGTAGTCAGGACAATCCCTGGAAGGCATGACCACAAGCTAATCTGATCTAGACAATATCTCAGTGACATCCTTTCTCCGTGATTCTAGAATCTATCCAGTTGGCTTGTAAGACTAGTCAGCATGTATAACTACCAATATTTCTACGTTAATATAGGAATCATTCAGAATTTTTGTAGATGCGTAGAACTTTTCTTCTCTTGGTTTTAAATTTGTTCTGTAAGATGAGTTCTTCACTCTGTATATGGGATGGCTCTACCATCTACCTTTACATAGTTCTAAATCTGGGAAGCTATGGCCGGGTCTTTTTCAAGAAACATTCCTCACCAAGCCCAGAGATCACTGGCCTCCTCTATTGCAACTTACCCATGTCAGAGAGCACATAGGTTAACTTCATGTAAATTGCTTTCCTTGACAAATATCCAAGACGAAAAGAACATGAAAGGATTGGCCTTTTCTTTAGAGACCCAGCACTGTTTCGGAAGAGAAACTGAAAGCTGCGGGAGGTTCCTTGATTATTCACTGTTTATTTTAATTGACAGCTCTCTGTGAGTCCAACATGTAGATGATTCAGATCAAAGCAAACATATGCTGCTTTACAAAATCAATGTTTAGTAATACTTAGCTGTTAACCATGCAGAATGGCATTGCCTGTTTTAATCTCGAGACTTGAAATCGAGACATACATTAACGTTTTCTCTTTTGTTTTGGGTTTGTGAACTTCATGCCATGTCACGTGTCAAGTGACTGTGTAACTCAAAACTGCTTCCCTCTCTAGTGTCTTCAAGTAGTTATTGGTATATTTCTGTCCTGAGTTTTACTTCTGATCAAATCTCACTAGTTGCTGCAAATAGCTTTTTAAGTAAAAGAGCCACAAACATGAATTCCCTCAATTCTACAAACTGATGTGGCTTTAGTTCAGGCAGAGTTTTCTCGCTGTACACCGCCACATGGCAGAACTTCAAGTAGCACTTTTTCCCTTGCCATCCCTGTGAGTAGCTGTCCTGTGATATGCTTTATTTACGTGTTTGGGTTTGGAGTCTGAATGGAAGCAGACTGATGTGGAGGTGATGATTGCCTAAGTATACCTACTTATGAACAGCCTCTGCATTCACAGAGTCATCTGGAAGACTGGTGTTCTGCTTACCTGAACTGTGGCTTCCAGCCAACAATGTAGGGCTCACAGAGCATCTGCCCATTCTGCTGGTGACCACAGGTGGACCTGGGGTTCCATCCCATTCTTGAGCTTTCATTGGCTCTCTGGAGGAAGCTGATCCATAATGACCTCTCTCTTTGCTCTCCAACTTAGGTAATGGCTCCGTGCTGTGGCTTCGGACTTTGAGCTCTTCAGTGGATTCTGTGTATTAACAAAAATAATTGTTATTTGAGAATTAAATCCTTCCTGAAATAACTTTTAGAAACTTGAATGTTGTTTTAATGTGCTTCTAAGATACTATTGAAAACAGGGTTGTACTGTAGACCTTGGTTTTAAACTATAACAGGGAAATGTGTCCCTTGGGGGATTTTCTTCTCCAAGATGTGGGTATGTTAGCATCACCAGAATGAAAATCATATTCTCTTTTGATATACAATATCTCAATGAATCTTGACTCTTCTTTTTGAATCTCCCTTTGGTTTCATCTTTAAGGAACTCTCCTAAGGAGTGTGTTACCTTTCTTCCTCCTTTCTACTCCCTCTCCTCTCCTTTACTGTGCTGTGTCATGAATACAAACCATCTATCCTCTAGTCCTGCTTTTGCTAAGCAAATACAGTGGGTTTCATTAGATGAAATATTTACCGCAATTTCTAGTGACTGGCCAATCTTCTACCACTCATTTTTATGTTTTTAATTCTTTCCATTTCACAGATCTTTCCTTTCCCTGCATTTGCTCTGCATCAAACCCCTTTTCCACACCATCTGTGATTTTCTTTTTCAATACATCCTTTGCACACTTGTCATCTCTAAGGTAATAGCTGATACACTGCCCTCACTCACAACAGATTCTTTGTATTATTTTTATCCTTCTGATTTCAATAAAATCTCATCTAATTTTTAATGATTTTCCAAACTTTTCATCAAAAGATAAAACCTTTCTCCATAGTTTTACATTCGTTATCTAATGAATGCACAGATTTAACATTTCAGATACACTTAACTAAATGGCTCTTCCTGGCCATCCATTTATCCATGCTAAGAGATTGTCTGTTCTTCTCGCTAACTAGTAAAGCCCAAACTCAAATCCATTAGGTAAAAGTGTATACTGTCTTTCTGAGCCGTTTCCCTACCCTTCTCTATTTGATATCATGTCTACCTTAACAACCCTAGTTCAGACTCTTGAACTGAATTGTGTCTCTTTATTGGTCACAGCTGACTTCCTTGACTTTGTCTTTGATATCCAAGGTAGAGTCACAACATCCATTTAAAATACACACATGACCATAATGTACTTTTGACAGGAATACTTTGAAGAGTGTCCAGTTCACAACACAGTAGCTGAGTTCTTTATTAGATTCTGCCTTATTAGCCTTCCCTTTTTCTCTTAATCATTGTACCCAAGGAACAGTGCCAAAATGGTCTTAGCTTCTGTCCCCCTCTTCCACTCCTGAGCAAAACAACACTGCCTTCTATGACTTCAAGCTCTCTGCTCTGACTACCCTAAATCTTGTCTTTGCTCTAGTTGGGCAAATCACTGATGCTCAATGACGTCAGTGACTTCTGAAGTGTCACCATTGCCAGGGCCATGCCTCCTGGTCAGCTGTACTGGAACATAGCATATTGGCATTCCACATACTTACTTTCCTGCCAAACTCCAAATTCTTGAAACCCACATGCTTTGGTTTTCTTTTCTTAGGACTGGTTCCTCTATAAGCAAACATCTTGTTTAATTAGTATTTTACCTAATTACTTAGCCTGTTTGTCAACTCTTCAACCATCTCTCTGCTATATATAGGCAATACAAAAATTGTAATGGAAACAGAGAACCAACTGATGATAAATGTTAAAGTGGCATGAGCTTGGTAATTTTTTTTTTAAAATATCTGATCGTTTGGTAACAATAATATATAAAATTCATCGAATTAGAAGTCTAATCCATATAAAGATTTTTGATAAATAAATAGAAATAATTTAAAAGACTGTATTTTTGTTTCCTTGTCTTTTAATTTAGCTTCAATTGTTTCTCAGCTTTCAACAGGGTTAAACACAACTGTCATGTTTGATTTCTCATTATCTTGCTGTATGTGAAAAAGAACAGCCTTCTGTGTATTGAGCAGCAATGGTCAGGGTTCTGAGGGCCTCACAGGGCTCCACTTGGCAGTGTTAGCAAGCAGTAATTATAGACAGAAAAGGGAAGTGGTAGACAGAAATAGCCCAGTTGGTTATTGGACCTGTGATTGGCAGCAATGATTGGTCAACACTCTGCTATTTGTTACACGGGGATGCTTTTAAGTAAGAGTGCAGTTTGTTTATGCAGTTAGATTATAGAGAAGCACCTGTGGGTCAGATTTAATTTCTCATTTTAGCTGTTTTGCTCTCCGATTCCTCTGCCTGCTGTGAATCTCTGCCAAATGAAAGCCCTGAATAAACAGCCTTTCTGTTCTCACTGGTCTGGTCGTCTTTTATTTTCACACTGCTCTAGCCCCTTGCAGCTCCAAGAAGCCCTGCAGCTATATAAATACTAAAATCACACTTTATGCAATGAATAAATCAGGAAGCTAGTCCAATCCAACTGCAATATCAGAAAGAGTTCAGGCCTCCAAATATACCTGCTATAAATTTAGTTACACTGAACTCAAAATGACGAGTCAAAATATTTTAATGATAACATACTTAATCATAATTATTAGGACAAGAACATTTAACCAACACTTGCTATTCAGTGTCCTGAGACAATTAAATCAGGACCATACATGATAAACATAGGCCATTCCCAAGCAGTTTATTCACAGTCTCAAAGAAAATGCATCTTGGCTTCTAAACGCCACTGCCTCAAATCTAAGGGCCTGTATGTTTCTCCCGAATTTCTCTTCCACAATCTAATTCAAGTGCTTCAGTAGCTGTGCTGTTATCTCCTTATAGAGTAAGACTCCCCACCCCCTTCTGTCTCTTCTGTCCTTCCTGTCTCCTTCTGACACCTTCTTTTTAATAGTTCGACATATATACAACAGCCTCTGGAGTTGGAACTTGCACAAATATCAATAAAAAGACAAAGAGTTCAAACGCAAAGCTACGTCTAATACTGCTTCTCTCAGATATTTTAGATAAAGAGGGAGAAGATTTGTGGAAAGTATTCTCCACCAAAGTTGGTTTCTTCATTCTTAGTCACATTACTCTCTCACAAATATCAGGGTACACTACTTAGGCCTTAAGTCTCAGCTATTTAAAAGCTCAATACAGCTTTGGGAACAAGAAGGAACAGTATTTTTCTTCTTTGTGTGTTTCCTGTAAATTCCAAGGGTTAGTTTCAGTGAATTTTGGCAAGTGTATTTTGAGAAACTTGAACAACAACAACAACAACAACAAAAAAGTGAAGAGTCTTCACTATTCAGGTTCAATTAGAAAGCAGAGACAATATATTAGTAAAAAATTATCAGAGTGGTGGTGGCACACACCTTTAATTCCAGCCCTCGGGAGGTAGAGGCAAGAGAAACTTTGTGAGTTCAAAGCCAGCCTGGTCTACAAGAGCTAGGTCCAGGAAAGGCTCCAAAGCTACAGAGAAAACCTGTCTTGAAAAACCAAAAAGAAAAAAGAAAAAGAAAATTATAAGCATATTCTGGAGCTTCTGTTTTGTAAAAGATCTTTTCCCCGTGTACATATTTAAGAATTGCTTTCAGACAATTATCACATGTACTCACTCATAAGTGGGTTTTAAACATAAAGCAAAGAAATCCAGCCTACAAACCACAATCCCAGAAAATTTAGACAACAATGAGGACACTAAGAGAGACTTACATAGATCTAATCTACATGGGAATTAGAAAAAGACAAGATCTCCTGAGTAAATTGGGAGCATGGGGACCTTGGGGAAGGGTTCAAGGGGGAGAGGTTAAGAGGGGAGCAGAGAAAAATGTAGAGCTCAATAAAAATCAATTAAAAAATACGTAAAAGTAAAAAATAATTGCTTTCAAAACCAAGTAAGTTTTCTCATTAAAATAATGATAGAACTCTTCAAAATAACTGTCAAGATATATGTGGTAAGTGGACAACTGAACTAAGAACTAACTGGATTTAGACAATTGAATTAAAAACTACGCAATTAAGAAATACTGTGCGTTCAAAGTTATCTATTCAGGAACCAAATACAATTACCCATATCCAAATATTTTGATGTTGTTTAAAATCAGTTGGAACCATTTTGTTTTTTGTTTGTTTGTTTGTTTTGTTTTGTTTTTTGGTTTTGTTTTCAAGTAAATGACTTTTATTTTTTTCCTTGGACATTTCACAGTCAGTTTCTACATAACTTCACACAATGTTAAAAGAATTCACATTTGGTAAATAGTCTATACCCCAAGGATGTTGTAGCTGAAAAGCCACTTGAGTATATGTGCAAGAGTAACTTGTGTGAAACCAATTTTGAATCTAATAACATAAACTATCCACAAGATCCAGGTGGTGGTGGTGCACAGCTTTAATGTTAGCCTTGGGAGGCAGAGGCAGGAAGATTTCTGTGAGTTCGAGGCCAACCTGGTCTATAAAATCTAGTTCCAGGACAGTTAGGGCTATTACACAAAGAAACCCTGTATTGAAAAAAATGAAAAAGAAAAACCAAAAAAGAAAAAGTGTGTGTGTGAGAGATTCTTCTTATACACTGTGTGGATACCTTCTATAGAGTCATGGTGTCTCAGTGCTCTGTGTAGCAGTCCCATTTGTAGAAAAGCAATGTCTGTGTTCTGCACACCCTGTTCATCCAATGGATGACTGTGCTAATGGTGATTGTATGGCTGATTAAAAATAGATACTTATTTCTTATATTTCTACATCCTGGAAGTCCATGACAGGAAGGACACAACTAGAGACAGCCTTCAATATGTCACCATTCCTTCGCAGAAGGCTGAAGGGAAAGAGAGAAAGCAAGAAAGAGGAGGGGGAAGTGAAAGGAGGGAGAGAGCACAATGAGAGAAGAGGGAAGGACAAAGGGGAATAGAGAAGGGAAGCAAACTCATCTTTTATAGAAAACACACTCACATGAAACTTACCCCATTCCTGTGACACAGCGTTAATCTATTCACGAAGGAGACGTTCTCAGGGCCTCACCTCCCTATCATTCCCACTGACAAAGGGTTTAGAAGGGGACACATGCCAATCACAGCAGTGTGCTTGTTTCTGAAGCATTCAGAACCAGCGTCTTTCTGTTTATT